TACCCACTGTATATATATATATATATATATGTGTGTGTGTGTGTGTGTGTGTGTGTATAACTGCCTCCTCATTTTAAAACACCACCGCACGCCACTGGTGTAAAACAGGATAGCCAAACATAGCCTAATAATTTAATATAATAGCTAATAGACTTATCTCATTAGGCTAATCTACGAAAGTCACAGTAATGTTATTTACCATAGCCTTTATGTATGAAATATCTCGAGGGCCATTACTGTATGTGATGAAGCCCCTCAAAATAATTTGTGAGAATATCCACAAATAAAGGGCTATATTTTGTATTCTTTTTGTACATTAATCTTCCTTATCTTTCTTCATTCATGCGTGCCATTTCATCCAGCTCTGTCTTGACACACATATACACATTCAAAATCAAATACACCTATACACAATACATTTGCAAAAAATATATATATGTATCAAAATACAGCTTATATTTTCAAACATTTATTGTAATATTTGAAATGATCTTATTAAGTCCATTATGCATCGTAAAATAGTCTAATGTCTTCACGTTGTTATTCCATTAGGCCTAGGCCTATTTATTAAATAGAGAAACATAGCCTATGTTTATTTACACCAAAGTGTATGTTGGTAGCTACGATCTGAATCGAAGAAAAGCCGCTTGTCTGTAAATATGCCTCAAAAATGTTGTACAAATTTGATAGAGATTATATTTAACCATGCATCATAAATGTTCTAATATATTCTTATTATTAGGCTAATAATAATAGCCTAATAATAATAGTAATAATAATAATAATAAATGCACAATTATTACTGTTACGCTGGTTGACATAATAATGTTATTCCAATTAATATAAACTAATAAAATCATTTACTCAGCAACATCATTATGTCAGCACCAGCAAAATAGATCATAAACACCACAACAAACGGAACGGTCATTTTTGGGCATTTTTTAAATGTTTTAAAACACGCGCAGAAAGTTTGTCCACGGTGTGCGGAGCTAAAAAAAAGAAGAAAAAAAGATGAATTTCAATGCGGAGGATCACTATCGGTCGGTTTTTAAAGAACGACTCTCATCGTAAGTACTAAATTACACCACAAACCGTGTTTTTGTTAGAAGCATTAATGTATCGTCGTTATGGCCAGTCAGAGTTTCGGCGAAGTCGATGAAATGTAGATCTGTGCTTGTGCGGACGGAGATGGTTCAGAGTGAGCTGCATGTATTCAGAGATTATTGAATATTTCAGAGGTATAAAGGATTTGGAGAAGGATTCGGCGAATATGAGGACAAGCGCGATGCTACTTGCAGAGGCGCGCGAGGAGAACGAGAGAGTGAACAGAGCACTGGAAGATCAGGAAAAGGTGCTTGTATGCAAGAAAGATAGAAAGAAAGAAAGTAGCTGTTCCACTTTAAATGAGTGTAGTGTTTTTGTGCTGTTGTCAGGAGTTGCAGATAAGGCGGGAGCGTTTGCGAGAAAGAGCGGAAAATGTGAAAAAAGACGAGGACAAACTCAGGCAGTACAAACTGGATACGGCTAAGGAGCTGCAAGTAAGACAACATTCTGAAACAAATACATGGATAATGAGTCAGTTGACTTAAATGTGACCCTGGACCACAAAACCAGTCATAAGGGTCAATTTTTTTCGAAATGGAGATCTATACATCATCTGAAAGTTGAATAAATAGGCTTTTCATTGATGTATGGTTTGTTAGGGTAGGACAATATTTGGCCGAGATACAACTATTTAAAAATCTGGAATCTGAGGGTGCAAAAAAATCGAAATATTGAGAAAATCGCCTTTAAAGTTGTCCAAATGAATAGCAATGCATATTACAAATCAAAAATTAAGTTTGAATATATTTACAGTAGGAAATTTACAAAATATCTTCATGGAACATGATCTTTACTTAATATCCTAATGATTTTTGGCATAAAAGATCTAAAAAAATCTATAATTTTGACCCATACAATGTATTTTTGGCTATTGCTACAATATACCCCAGCGACTTATGACTGGTTTTGTGGTCCAGGGTCACAAATATCATTGGTAACCTCTTTTTTGTCTTTCTCTCCCTTAAGGAAAATGAGGCCAGACGGTTACGTGCCATACAAAAAACAAAGGAAGAGGAAGCTAAAATCAGAGAGAAAGAAGAGAACATTAAGAAACTAATGACACAGTATGAAGCCCTGCTGGCTCAAAAAGAGCAACTGGACCAGCGCAAACTACTGGCCAAACTCCACCAGGAGAGCACTGCAAAGATGTCTGGAAAGGTAGTCCGACTCTTATTAGTAGTCTAGTCTACTTTTTTGTGTCTGGAAAGGGTGAAAATACAGAAACTACTCAGAGAAACTGTCAGGCTTTCCCCGGACTCACCTGCCTCATTTGACTGAAGAGTGAGGCTTTGGGCGTTAGATCAGCCTTATTCTGTGTGCTTTGGTTTTCAGTTTTCTGAACGATGAGACAGATGGGGTAACAAGAAAGATACTGAGTCGTGTTTTAATGTTTAAAGACAAAATGCATGCATCTCTAGATACATTACACAGGTTCCACCTGTTTTAATATCTAAAATATACTGTATGGTAATGTTACACTTTTTCTTTTGTTTCCTCCTTTTTAATTAAATTTGAGTTTGAGAACACCGGTCGACACCGTGACTGTCATGGAGCGCAGTCCATCAGAAAAGAAATTCTAGAAAGACAAGCTAATGAGAAAGAGGCAGAGCACAAAAAGCTGGAACTGATGAAGGACATAAAGGAACAGCAAACTCGTCTCCTGCACTACACCAAACAACTGCAGCAGCAACAGACAGAGCTAGACAACATACACTCAGAAACACACAAATGGGTAAAAACATACACACATTTAGAGGGTTATGTGCAAAAAGACACGCAGATGTCACTGTGGCACCTCTGTCTTCTGTACAGTCTTTCAAGATTACAGATGTGTTCCACAGGAACTGAAACGGGAGGAATTGCGTTCCACTGCAGAAAGAGAGGAGCTCCAGTACGCTCAGATAAAAGTCAGGATTCGTTCAATTTATCAAATAATCGCACCTTACTGGAGAGAGACTGTGGATATTGAGGACCCCTTCAAGCAGCTGCAACTGGTGAATAATGAGAAATACTTCTGGCATCCTTGAATAAAGCAGTATTTGTTGTTGATATGGTGTTTAAAATGAAATACAGTAAAGTTATAAAATGTTATCACGGCAATGATAAAATGCAACTTTTTTTAAATTTTCCCTCCAGATCCGGAAACATTTTCAGCTTGTGAGAGCTATAGCTGAAGATCGAAATGTTATGACAGCAACTGCAGGTGGAACTGAAGAAGACGACAGGCAGCAGAGATTAAGATCCAAGCTCTGAAAATATATGCACTGAAAACAGCCAGATGTGCCTAAGCTAAATATAAATCATCATCTGGCCTGCCTTATGACAGTATTGTGCACTGTGATGGGAGGGAAAGCAGGGATACTGTACTGAGATTAATAGATTATTAATTTATTGATTTTTATTGAAACTAACATTTTTGTCATAATTTTTGTTATGAAGGATCTACGCATTAAAACATTATTTGATTGAGAAGTGCATAATACATACATACATACATATATTAAAATAATTTAAGTAATAATAAAAATAAATAATAAAAAATTATTTGCATAGTAATTTCTTCCAGTATGAATTAGAAAATTCACACGGTGTAATGTATAAGGTAATAACACTTTCATCACCTTGATTAAATGTCTGTTCAATCTTAATTTCCAAACAAAAATAAAATTATATATTTTTTTCAAGGTAAAAATTTTCATTTTTAAGAACCATAAGTCAAGCAGTTGAGATTTTTGCCTATATCGCTTAATGTTCTCATGTTGCAATAAGGAAATGATGCAATGACCTGCACATCTTAAAGTCAACATAATGTTTATTATAGCGCTTTATACAGTGCAGATTGTTTCAAAGCAGCTTCAGTGTTGAACAGGAACGTAACAGAATCAATTATGCAAACTGCAAAAAATAAGGGCAAATCCAAAAGCAGCTGTGTGGAGATTAAAGATTAATTAAAATTGTTTACCTGAGGATTATTTTTTATTAAAACTAACTTTTTGTCATAACAATTTTTGTTATGAAGGATGCATTAAAAAGATATTTAAGAAGATAAACAACACTACACTGACATTAGCTGCGGAGCAGACTCAACTACATAGTTTTTATTAAATATCTTTGGCATATTTTCACAAATAAGTAGTAGCCTATATTTTCAAAAATGTGCTTTTTAAAATCGAGTCTTTGATAGGTCTTTGATCTAACTGACTGCATAAGAACCACCACTCATCGTTTTCTTGATAAACTCAAGCAACTGTAAATCGTGCTGATTCAGTCAATGCATTTTACTCTCTAAAAAAGATCCGTAATAGGGCACATTTACAGGTGTTTCACCTGAATATTATTTATTTATTTAATTTCAGCGTAGAATTGTCTTACTGTCATTGACCAGCAGATGACGCTATAGTAAGGCCACAAAACGAAGTATCGCAGAACACTCACACCTCTTCAGCATTTTGGTCTTTCGCCTTTATTTTAAGCTTTACTGTCGTTGATAGTTGGCTAAATTTCCGATTATATTTAGATAGTATCTACATTTCACTATCATCTCTTTGGAAGGTCATTTTTGCACCTCTTTAGCTGAAAGCGCACCTCTTTGTAATATCAGCCTGCAGGGTTTTATCATAAATCCAGGAGATTATGTCTAATACTCCCAGGCACCTTGCATGTGTCTGTCTTTCACTGTGTGAGTGTGTTTTCCGCTGTCTGATTACCACAGACTCGAACTCTAATCTAAGAGAGCGTGCCTGTGGTAGGCAATTTACTGTTTCTGATTCTCTCACTCTCATTGCCTTGCCCATTTCTTATTATTTCTGTCAGATGTTCGTTTCTTGATCTATATTAATGACAAGTTCACATTTAATAGCATGTACACCTGTCTCTTTCCCTCCCCCCAGACAGCTGAGAGGACACACACCCTATATCCTGGTGGGACTGAGAAGGTTAGGTGCAAGAGTGTGTGGATGTCTGTGCTTGAGTGTGTGTGTGTGTGTGTGTGTGTGTGTGATATGTAGATAGGAGATCTGTCTTGAACTTTTTCAATCTAAATACCTCCATCACCACCACAGCACCCTGTCAGTCAAAACCCACAGGCTGAACCCCACGATGGAAAGAGACTGTCATGGTCAAAGAGCAAATTTTGCTGTTGTATTCCTGAAATAAAACATTTGAAAAGCCAAAGTTCATTATAAAGCTATTTGTGTTGGATGGCATTTTGAACTAGCCAGATAAGAGATATGCGTGTCTTTGTGGTTTTGTGTAGCTACTTAGGGGGGAAAATAGTGTGCAAAATCTGCATAAAATAAAATAACAAATTAAAATGAACAAATTAAAAATAAATAAACTCCAGTAAAAGTCCTTTACTATATTGTATATATAGTAAATAAAATAACTGTAAGCCATTAAACAATGTATAATTTTATTTTATTATTTTATTAAACAAAATAACATTTTCTTATTGGGGTTTGGTTTCTTAGTCTTTAGTAATAAAACGTCCTCACAAATGTAGTTAAACATGTCAGAAGCTCTGTACTGGTATATATGGTTTATGAGGACACAAATGTGTATAATGACATGGGTACTACAATGTAAACATGATTTATGAGGACACTTCCTGTGTCCCCATAAAACAAAAGGCTTAAAAAACATACAAAACTGTGTTTTATGAAATTCAAAAATTGCCAGTAGTTTTCTGTAAGTGTTAGGTTTAGGTGTAGGGCGATAGAAAATACAGTTTGTACAGTATAAAAACCATTATGCCTATGGAGAGTCCCCATAAACCACATATGCAAGTATGTGTGTGTGTGTGAGTGTGTGTGTGTGTGTGTGTGAAAGAGTACAACCACAAAGCTCTCGCTGCCCACATTATTTTCCCTTTGACTTTATATAAAAGAGACACATTTCCTCAGTGCCTCTCATTCTCTCTCTCTCTTTTTCTCTGCGTTCCATTCATAGTTCAGTGAGGAAGAATGAGGAGTGAATCTGTGCCATTCATTTCTGGTGAGTGTGACTGCAGCCCTCCAACACACACACATCCACGCTTGTTTTTCTAGCACAGTGGGGACTTATTACTGACTTCAGTTGTTTTTATACTGAGCTCAGGATGTTTTCTATATCTTAACCCTCACAGAATGCTTACTGTGTTTTTAAAATTTCATTCAAATGTAATTTAGCATCTTCAGAAAGCCAAAAGTGCCTCAAAGTGTAAAACATTACGTCACTAAATTCGCTTGTATTTAACATGGAATATTTCTTTAAGGCCCCAGTGTTGGCAAAACCTGAGGCACGCGCACATACTGGGCATGCTAAGACCTGTTACTAAACTAAAAAAAGCACCTGACACTGATGGTGGATTTTACTTACCACAGAATCAGTTTCGCTGTCTGACAGACAATAGAAAAACCCCACTGACCTACATGCTGCGCACACACATTCAACAAAATCCACAGTCACACAAGCCCATTTGGCCTGTCAGTCTCTCTCTCACTAATGAAGAAGCTTCACGCTGTGTGTGTGTGTGTGTGTGTGTGTGCGTGTAGTCCTGCAGTTGCTGCCGTCATTCAGGCAGAAAAGTGTGTGTGTATGTGAGAAAAGGGGGTGAGGAAGGGAGCGCAGGCGTCATGCTCCATAAAGCCGCTGTGATAGTTTGAGCGTACTATTGCTTCCGACACACACTTCCAGCCGGACAGACATTCACATACTCCAGTACCACCGTATCCCACTTGCTGCTGTGGATTTGGTTTTGAGAGAGAGGACAGCATGCTAGCTGCTGAGGCCTCCAGGGGTGAGTTACTCCAATCTGATACAGCCAAAATGTGCTTTGAGCAGGGTATCCTGAGTGTCCGAATTTGATCTGCTGTAATGGGAAAAGGTTAAAGTTTATATTGTGTTTATGGCTTTTGAGCAGGTTAAAAAGTTAAAACCAGAGTCACACATACAGTCAAATTCAAATTTAAAATAAAATTTAAGGCTAAATATTTTTTATGCTCAAAGTACGATAGGATAGGATAGGTTAGGATAGGATGGGATATAGGATAGGCTAAGATAGGATAGGCTATACCTGTAGGACACAACAGGATAGGATAGGATATGTAGGATGGTATATAGGATAGATTAGGATAGGATATGGTATGATAGGATAAGATAGGATAGGATATACCTGTAAAATACAACAGGACAGGACAGGACAGGATAGGATAGGATAGAATGGGATAGGTAGGATGGGATATAGGTTATGATAGATTTGGATAGGATATGGTATGATAGGATAGGATATACCTGTAGGATACAACAGGATAAGATAGGATTAATAGGATGGGATGGGATATAAGATATGATATATTAAGAGAGGACATGGCATTATAGGATAGGATAGGATAGGATAGGATCGGATCGGATCAGATAGGATACACCTGAAGAATAAAATAGGATAGATGCAATAGGATAGTTTGGGATAGGATGGGATATTTAATTATATAATATGATAGGATCTAGTAAGATAGGACAGGGAGATATATATGACATGACGGGATTTGATAGGATGGGATATAGGATAGGACAGGATAGGATGAATATAAGATGGGACAGGATATGATATATATGATTTGGTGGGGTTGGATAGGATACTGTATATGATTGAATAGGGATCAGTCTTTTTGTTTCATGTCTCAAATACGCTTCCAGGATCATATACTTTGAATTATTAGACTAGACCAGATCAAAATTGGACACGAGACAAACTTGAGTCTGAGAGTGGCCTTTTCCGGACTTGAGTATTACAACACTGCTATCATATCTTATTCTACTGTATTCCATCCTATATCCCATCCTATCCTTTTCCAATTCTATCCTGTTCTTCCTGTCCCATTTTATCCTTATCCTATATCCAATCCTATCCTATCCCTATCTTACATTTAAATTCCAGTTAAAATTTAAATTCCAAAAGCCATTGTTCTAAATGAAAGTGATCAATTAAATCCTTTTACAAATGGCCTGTTAGTGAAGGGTGTGATGGTCACTGGTCATGAATTTAGCCATTTATGATCCTGAGTGGCGCATCCTTGTTCTTTATTTTGAAAGGTGAGGTATTTTTAATAAATTAGTAATTAAATACAAATAAACATATACATTCGATAAAGATATAATTAATATAAATTGCATAAAATATAAATATGATTAAATACAAATATAAAACGATACAATCTGTCACAAACAAGACCCTTCTGGGTGAGTAGAGCATAGCGATGGTCACTTTTGAATTA